ATAATAATAATAATAATAATAATAATAATAATAATAATAATAATAATCTAAAACCTATCTAAAACATTTAGTAAGTTAAAGAGTTCAAAAATGCCACTATATGCATAGTACTAAATCACAAATGCACTGTTTGATTCAAGACAATTACTGACTTGGAAAATAAACTGTTTCTCAGTCTATTAGTCCTCATTTTAAGACACCTATAACGTCTCTCTGATGGTAACAATTCAAAATATGAATGACCAGGATGAGAACGGTGATATTTAGTGCTCTAGAGAGGAGTCTGGTCTTCGCAATCTCTGTTCTAACAAACCATAAACAACTTTTGGAGAGCAGAAAGGATTCTGAAGACTTATGCTTCTGCTCTGAATCACCAAAAGGAGAAGATTTATTTTTTCCTCTTCAAGGGATGTTACTTGTGACCTTCCAGCTGGTTGGGGGAACTAATTGTGGCTCTTGATCAAAGAAATGTTGCCTCCAAACATAAGTTATTGCCTTAAATAATCTGAATTATCTGGCTTTAAAAATGGGTTGGCCCAATTCACACTTAAAATGCTTGGCAACTGAGTCATATTTAGGATGGTTCCAGTGTCCTTGGGACACATGATCACTTTTTGTGACCTTCTGACAAGCAAAGTCAACCAGATTCACTCAACACCTGTGTTACTAACATAACAATTGCAACGATTCACTTAACAATTGTGGCAAGAAAAGTCATAAAATGGGGCAAAACTCAACAAATGTCTTGTTTAGCAACATAAACTTTGGGCTCAATTGTGATTGCAAATCAAGGACTCCCTGTATATGAACTTTGTAGCAATAATCTAAAAGGTTTGGCTCAAAAGTCATAAACATCAGGTAACAACATACCGTTTTCAAAGTAAAACCGATGGAAATCCATCCCTTCTACAAGATTTCCCAAAGCTTCAGGCTCAAATGAGGTAAGACCAGGATCACAGATTTTCCTACAGAGCAAGGGGAAACAAAATCTCCTATACATATTATGTGACAAAAGTGAAAACCCATCATGTAAATACTGAATCCGGTAAGCCTACATTTCAAATGCAGTCTGCAGAACATCTTACAAAGTCTCAGCTCCTGAAATCCTGAATTTCTTGTGATCCCCTTGGAGAACCACAGTTTTAAGGCACTGGTTTTGCCTTGAAACAGAGCTGTCCTGGTGTTTTTCCTATTTCTTTCTTTCATTCACTCACACACAACTGATGTCATCGTTGAAGCGAGCTCTGAGGTAGCTGTTCTTAGCTGGGATTGTCTTCAGGTGGCCCTTCCATCTCTTACTAATGCAGGGATGTCAAACTGGGGGCCCGTGGCCATGTCCACCCCAGCTCTGCGAAGGGGGGAAATGTCGCGATCCGTCACGTGACAGCAAGGTGATGCTGCGAGTTTGACACCCGTGCACTAATGCAGGCATTTCTGCAACATGAAACATGACGGATGCTACTAGATGAAACTGTTCCAAGAATGTTCTATTGCACCTTAGACCCACCTCTTTTTTCTCCCTAATTTTTGATGATGTAAATGAGATAAACGTGATCCAGATCACATGTCACTCTCTACAGTACGTTTAGGAACTATATTAAACATACCAAAGTCTTTATGCTGAACACTATCTAACAATCCTGGTTGTGTGGTTTCTTACCAATCTGAGGCAGAATATATGGTAGAACCTTTGGTCACGACCATAATTCATTCCATAACTTTGGCAATTTTCTTCGTTTTCTAATGTTTGGTCTTCAGGAATTTCTGGGTCAGGGGTCATGTTTGATTGCCACCTGAGTATGTGTTTGTGACCAGATTCAAAATTTTTGTGAATTTTTTGGTCAGAACCAGTGGTGGGATTCAGCCAGTTCACACCACTTTGGGAGAACCGGTTGTTAATGGTTGTGAGCAGTTTGGTGAACTGACTCCTGGAAGAAATCATTAGGGCAGAGAACCAGTTCTTAAATTATTTGAATCCCACCACTGGTCAGAACCCGATTTGGTTGTGGTCAGAAGCTTTCATGACCAGAGATTCTACTGTATATGGAAACAGTTAAAAGTAAGAAGAATTTAACTTCTCTTCCCTGAAAGCAGAAAAATCCAATCTCTGTCCACGATACGAACTTAAATCATGAGCTGATTTATCATAACCCTCAATACCTGCTTACCATTAAAGGGTTGCCTATCTCCAATATGAGAATTTTTTTCTTCTCAATATGAGCCAGAGAACTACAACTGCATCCTGATTACAATAATCAGTTGCTGAAAATATAGTCTAATATTATACTGATATCCAACTAAGAGAAAGCAGAATGCAACTTACGTGTAGGCTTCAAAATCCCCATTATTGATGGCTTCTATCAGCTGCTCAGTAACCTTGATGATCTCTTGTTTACGAGCTGGAGACAAGAAAGAAACATGTACAATGACAAGATTAAATATAAAATCAAAGCCAATGGAACAAAAGACTGTATGACAATCTCAATCACTGAGTTGTTTCTGTTTGAATTATGATTGTCATGCATTTAGACAGCTTGAGTGGTGCAGTGGCCTAGAGTTGGAGCTCTTGCCTCACAATCAGGAGACTATAAGTTCGATCCTAGGTAGAGGCAGTTATTTCTTTTTCTGAGCATGATGAAAATATATCTGCTGAATATCTGCTCAGCACTGGCGACAGGAAAGGCATCCAGCCAGTAAACTCAGCTCTATTCAGATGTCCAGACTCCACCCCACAAGGCATTATGGGGACATTAAAAGATGATGATGATGATGATGATGATGATGATGATGATGATGATGATGCATTCAGATAGCCTTTGCAGTTCCCTCATCCTTTGCTGTTAACACAGCCAAAAGTTGAATTGCATCCAATTCTGTGCAATGGACACATTTCTGTATGGACAAATCGGAAGCACAGATCAGAAGCAAGAGTTGGAGATCTATTGCTTATCCATTTTTCTGCCTTCAGTGAATTCTGTAGCTTCAAAACCATTCAGAGAGGATATAAAAGGAAGAGTAGACATAATATGAATTAATCCTTTGATGAGTTCCATGCATTTGACAGAATATCCTTCTGATACTCCTTCAGGTTATTTGTTTTTACTCTCCTTGTAATTTCAAAGGTGGGTTAAGTGGCATTTTAAAAAACTGTTCTTAATTTCACATCACATGTACAGATTTAATCATAGTTGAAACTAGTCCCATGATGTTTGCCTATCTATCCATCACATAAAAACACAAAACAGTGTAAGACTGGTTAATTTGTAGCTTCACTTATTCTTTACTCTTTTCTATTAATTGCAGCAATCATTTGCATTTTTAAATTTAAATAGGAATAATGTCAGATCATAATCATTCACATGTAAACTGAGTGCAGGTACATTAGTTATGACTGCTGATAGCACACAAACAACATCTTCCCCAGAGCAGGAGAAAGTAGTATTATTCCCCTTTGCAATTTCTAAGGACTGTTACACAGAGTGAGTTTTCTCACTTCCAAGAGAAGGTACATTTTCCTCAATTGTAATCAGGTACCTTCCAGTCCTCCTTAGTTTTCAGATGACTTTCTCCCCTCAATCCTGCAAAACTGTTCAGGAAGAAAATGTAAGCAGGCAAACTTATAACTCCCATTCAATATATTTTAAAACAAGAAGAGGACGACAGAATCAATGTTTTGATCAAGGCACTTTGCTCTGTCAAGAAATATGTATGCTATACATAGAAATATAGATTGGAATAAATACATGTTGTATGTATGTATGTATGTATGTATGTATGTATATGGTATTCAGCTTTGTTTGGGTATTTTCCCACGTCATTATAGTTGTGCTTTTAAAGTTGTAGCAACGTTTCGGCAGAATCTCATCTGCCATCATCAGGCTTCTGTATTGTGTTCGTCTGTGAGTCAGACTTTTACAGTGGTTTCAGTTTTAAATTTGGGGCTAGCCTACTGTTGTGCCAGAATGGTTTTTTCTTCATCCTGATTGGTTGGGAGTCTTGGTCTGTGTTTATTGGTCTTGGAATTTGCTGTGTTCTGCTTGATTGGTGTTTCTAATATCTTCTGTCTGTTTTGTGGCTTTTTTTGTGTCTTGATTGGCTGGCAACATTGTGTTCCTGTATTGGAGGCTTTTAGTGCAGCTTGGCTCCGAGTAAATGGACGGCTATCATTTGTTAGGAAGCTAGGTTTCATCTGGGTGCCTGGTTGGGGTGTGTTTGAGCTGGAGGTATCGGGGGGATCTGTTTGTGCCCAGGTGTTTGCCTGGCTAGTGGTGTGGAGATTTTTTTGTTTGTGAGTGCAGGCTTCCAAATAATTGACAGTCTGGTGGAATCATCTCTTCTATTTATGCTTTCAGGTCTTTTTCAATCTCTATGGCTTCTCTGATAATTTGTGGCTGGGGTTTTCTATAGTGGCTAGGGTTTTGGTGCCATTGAAGTTGATGCTATGACCTGTGGCTTTCATGTGTTGGAGTAGTGAGGAAGTGTGTTCCAGCTTTTTTACTGCATTTTTGTGTTCATCCAGGCGGGTACTTATTCTTCTATTGGTCTGTCCAATGTATGTGGCCGGGCATGATGCACAGGGGACTTCGTATATGCCTTGGTTTTCCAGGTCAATTTTATCTTTGGGGTTTCTGAGGATGGCTGCTATTTTTCTGTCTGTTTTGAAGGCAGTCTTGATGTGATGCCTGTGTAGTATCTTACTGATTTTGTCTGTAGTACCTCTTATGTAGGGCAGGACAGCTGTAACAGACCTATGGAATCCAACTGTTTTTCTTACTTTTGCTGATAATACCACTGCTCAGACTCACTATACCATAGCTCATTTAGGTAAGCTCTATCCTTTTGAATTGTATCTTATGTATCTGTATCTTTTATATTTGTAGAGAGTTCATGAAACATAATACTCATCATCTGTTGGATACCACTTGGACAATTAGCTTGAGGTTAATTCACAGTTCTGGCATAGAGACATTGTAAAAAAGTTATTGAGACATTAAAAATACCATGAACGAAGACAATTTGAGAACATCTGGTTAAGGTATGATTTAAATCACATACCAGAAGGCTGAGTACTCTCTCATATTTGCAATAAGATGTTAATTATAGAAACTATACACCTGCAGTGTAGTAAGCCTATTATATACAATTTTAGCTTCCTATTTGTACTTAATTCAACCTATACTTGCACATAAGCACATTCACGGACTTTTTAACCAAAGTATCATGAAAGGTGGATAAGGCCACCTTTTGAATTTTGATATTATGTTTACTCTTCATGTTTATCTTATTCATGGGTACATTAGCTAAACATATTTTTAAAAAGCGGAGGGGAAAACCTACTGTATATACTTATGTATAATTTAACAGTGTGTATTATCTGTGTATAAGCCGAACCCTATTTTGGGGTGTATTTGGACACCTCAAAGTTTTGAGTATGTGACAAGTGACAAGGATATTATTTACATTACTCAACAAGTTTATATATAGTATTTCCTTTTTTCACAGTTTCTCAATTGCCACAACATAGTTCTTTCTCTAGTTCTCCCCTTTGAGGACTGAGAATCATATTTCTTGGCCATGCATTTTCTCACTTTCTAGTTCCCATATTTCGATAGGTCCTGTTGCAGGTTGGGGTTGCATTTTTCTGAGTTGCTTATCAGCATTTTTCTGAGTTGCTTATCAGGTTATACGTGTGTGTGTGTGTGTGTGTGTGTGTGTGTACTAATTGGTGCTGATTGGTTGTAGCTGATATACATCTTAGAATGCTTGGGAGGCTGTTAGGCCCTGGTACAACTCAATTCACCCGCCCTCGTTGCTCATTCCACCATATGTTCAGTTTCAGCACAACTTGCTTCTCCTTCAGTTTTCCAAGTCAATTCCCTTTCTCTCTTCCATCAACAAGCCACACAATGCACCTTCAAAGTTTCTCTTCATCTCTCTGTATTACAGGTGTGACCCCCTCCACTTTTAAAGTCCCAAGGAACAAAATCATAGAGAGCGAAATTTGGCATATTGGCAATTTCAAGGTTTTTTTCTTTCACAAACCTGCTTCAACAAAGGTTTCAAACTTGCTGATTCCAACAAGAGCATTTTATCTCCTAATTTTATATGGAGTCTACATCCCCTTGTTATATATGTAGTCCTTGACTTACAAGCACAATTGAGCCCAAATTGAATTTTGCCCTATTTTATGACTTTTCTTGCCTCTGTTTTTAAGTGAATCACTGCAGTTGTTAAGTTAGTAACCCGGTTATTAAATGAATCTGTATTCCCCATTGACTTTACTTTCCAGAAGGTCACAAAAGGAGACAACATGATCTTGGGACACAGCAACTGTCATAAATATGAACCAGTTGCCAAGCATCTGAATTTTGATCACATGATCATAAGGATCTTGGAAAGGTAGTAATTGTGAAAAACAGTCATAAGTCCCTTTTTTTCAGTGCCATTGTAACTTTGAATGGTCACTAAACTAACTGTTGTAAGTTGAGGATTATCTGTATACAGTCTGTACAACTAATTCAGTTTTGTAGAGTCCTTGTTTGTTGTTTGCTTGTACATTTCATTACCTGACTAAGTAACATCATCAGCCCACAATCTCCAAACAAGCAATGAAACTAAGAGAGCATCAAGGACTCCACAATTCAGCTCTGAGTCAGATATATTCTTTTCTTTGGTATTTCAATTTTTCTTATGAATCACAGGTAGGAATGGTCTGCATCTTTGTATGCATATGATGGTAACTAATTATCACAGACAGTGACCTTGTTGTAAATTAACACAAATGAATCGGATACTTTAACTTGTACCTTAAAAGAGAACAAAACTAAGCCCTTAGTAAACAATGAATGTACTACAGTTAATCCTTGACTTAACAACTGTTCATTTAGTGACCATTCAAGTTACAATGGCACTAAAAAAGCTGACTTGTTTTTCACACCCATGACTGTTGCAGCGTCCCCGTGGTCACATAATCAAAATTCAGAGGCTTGGCAACTGGCATGTATTTATGACAGTTGCAGTGTCTTGGGGTCATGTGATTATCTTCTGAGATCTTCTGACAAGCAAAGATAAGCCAGATTCACTTAACAACTGTGTTACTAACTGAACAACTTAAGCAATTCACTTAACAACTAAGGCAAAAAAAGTTTATCAATTGGGGCAAAATTCATTTAACAACTGTCTTGCTTAACAACATAAATGTTGGACTCAATCGTGATTGTAAGTTTAAGACTCTATAATATTACCTGTATAATATTCAGTGAAGACTCAGAAAGAACATTCCTAGCAATTTGCTCATTAGATCTTACAATTAATTTTTAAGAATTAGCTTAATTCTCTCTTGTTGTTCTCTCTTGATGTTTATGGGACATGACCCTGGAAATCGTCTTCTAAAATGATG